TTTAAGACTAACAGAAGTATTGGAGCATAAGCTTTCGTGGGTGAATGTGTCTGATGAAGTGGGCATTCACCCACGAAAGCTTATGCTCCAATACTTCTGTTAGTCTTAAAAGTGCCACAGGATCCTCTGTTGCTTTTTATAAAAAAAAAAGGTGATGTTAATGGAGGGTTAGATGTTGGTGGGACATGGAAAATTACGATAAGGTCATAGGAGCAACAAGAGGGAAATCAGTGGGGGAAGCTGCTCAACATCTTGAATGTCCATACACAAATGCAAGGAGTATGGAGAATAAATGGGAAGAACTGGAAGAATTAGTGTACATAAGCGAAATTATGATTTAACTGGCATCACAGAGACTTAGTGGGATAAATCTCAGGACTGGAATATTGGTACAGTAACTCCTCGCTTAACGTTGTAGTTATGTTCCTGAAAAATGCGACTTTAAGCGAAACAATGTTAAGTGAATCCAATTTCCCCATAAGAATTAATGTAAATAGGGGGGGTTAGGTTCCAGGGAATTTTTTTTCACCAGACAGAAGACTATATATTATATATTAACAAACAATTTAATACTGTTCACAGCTATGATGATTGTGAAGCTTGGTTGAGGTGGTGAAGTTAGAGGGTGGAAGAGGGAGGGATATTTCCCAGGGAATGCCTTGCTGCTAAATGATGAACTAGCACTCAGCTGAGCCCTCAAGGGTTAACACATTGTTGTTAATGTAGCCTCTCATCAAGGCAGCACAAACAGGAGGGAGGGGAGACAGCATAGCAGACAGAGACACACCTTGTGTGTGGGAGAGAGAGAGAGATGCACACTGCCCCTTTAAGTAAGCTGACCCACTCTTAAGTGCATTTTTTAAGTGGATCAGGAAGTTGAGACAGCAGCTGCTGCCCCAAGCTCTCTCTGTCTCTCTCCGTCCGTCTCCCCTCCCCGCTCTATCTGGAGAAGGGGTAAGCAGGGTGCAGGGGGAAGGGGGACACCCTGACATTAGCCCCTCCTTCCCAGCAAGCAGGAGTCTCTGGGAACAGCTCCAAGGCAGAGGGCAGGAGCAGCACATGGCAGTGGGGGGGGAGGGACAGCTGAACTGCCGATTGATAGCCTGCTGGGTGGCTGCAGCACAGGGAACTTACGGGAACGGGGAGTTGATAGGGGGCTGCTGGTCCACCCGGGTTCCAAGCCCCCACCAGCTAGCTGCAATGGGCTGCTCATCCTGCGAACAGTGGACAAAGCAGGCGGCTGCCAAATGACATTAGAAGGGAGCATTGCACAACTTTAAACGAGCATGTTCCCTAATTGATCAGCAACGAAACAACGTTAACCGGGACGTCTTTAAGTGATGAGTTACTGTATAAAGGGGTAGAGCTTGTTCAAGAAGGACAGGCAGAGTAAAAAGGCAGCAGGTGTAGCATTGTACATCAAGAACATATACACTTGTGCTGAGGTCCAGAAGAAGGTTGGAGGCAGGCCCATTGAGAGTCTCTGGTTAAAGATAAGAGATAAAAAGAGGTAAAAAATAGATGTCATGGTAGGGTTGTCAATAGACTACCAAATGAGGAAGAGGAGGTGGACGAGGCAGTTGTAGAACAAATAACAGAAATATCCAAAACTCAAGACCCGATGGTAATGGGGGATTTTAACGTCTGGGGTTATAGTGGATCACAAATTGAATGAGAGTCAACAATCTGATGCAGCTGCCAAAAAGGCTGGGGTGTATCAACAGGAGTGTTATAGGTAAGACACGGTAGGTAATTGGCCTGCTCTACTCAGCACTGGTGAGACCTCAGCTGGAGCACTGTGTCCAATTCTGGGCGCCACACTTCACAAAAGATGTGGACAAATTGGAGAGAGTCCAGAGCAGAGTAACAAAAATGATAGAAGGTTTATGACAAATGGATGAAAAAAAAAATGGATGAAAGACCACGCTTAGTCTTGAGAAAAGAAGACTGAGGGGCGACCTGATAACATGCTCCAAATATGTTAATATGCTATAAAGAGGACAATAATCAATTGTTCTCTATGTCCACTGAAGGCAAGACAAGATAGAATGGGCTTAATCTGCAGCAAGGCAGATTTAGGTTTGATATTAGGGAAAACTTTCTAACTATAAGGGTAGTTAAGCTCTGGAACAGGCTTCCAAGAGGAGTTGTGGAATCCCCATCACTGGAGGTTTTTACAAACAGGTTGGACAAACACCTGTCAGGGATGGTGTAGGTTTGGTCCTGCCACAGCACAAGGGGCTGGACTTGATGAACTCTCAACTTCCCGCCCTACATTTCTATGATTCTGAACTGCTTTCAACAGCTTGGAAGTATACAACGATGTCAATACACTTAAGCAAACTTTTAAAAAAATATCTATCCAGCCCATCTAATTTAAAGGATTTAGTTTTCAGTACAACACAATTTCTTTTGCAGTGCTCCTCTCTAAAGTGCATAACCCAACAAAACTTACCATAAGTAGCAACAACTAGAGACAAAATAGAATCTGAAGAAATAAAGCAAACCTTCATATAACTGCAGACAATAGGCTAAATTTCCATTCCCCCCCACAAAGCACCAAAATTTGTACACACAAGTATTTTATAGTGTAATCACTGATCTCTGTTCCTGTGTAATGTGTTAGTTACACAAGTTATGGAAAACTATGTTCAGTTCAATAACTCGCTTATATGTAACCGAGGGAACAATTTTCTAACTTTGTTGCTTAAATCCCTATTTATTCACCAAAATCAGCACTAAGGCCTTGTGTGCAGTGGGGATTTGCTCTAATTACAGCCATTGGCAAAGCTGCACAGGTGCAAACCGCTAGTGTAAGCAGTGTGACAAAGTTCCTCCTCTATCTTGGTGGGTCCTGCGCTTTTTGGCGGATTTTCTTGCCTCAGAGATTCACCATGTGGGTTGGGGAACAGCCCAGAGACCTTCCCCTCTGGAAGAACCCACAGTCCAGGTCAATTGGGAGGTTTGGGGGGAACCCGAGCCCGCCCTCTACTCCGGGTTCCAGCCCAGGGCCCTGTGGACTGCAGCTGTCTATAGTGCCTCCTGTAACAGCTGCATGACAGCTACAACTCCCTGGGCTACTTCTCCATGGCCTCCTCCAAACACCTTCCTTAGTCTCACCATAGGACCTTCCTCCTGGTGTCTGATAACGCTTGTGCTCCTCAGTCCTTCAGCAGCACACCCTCTCACTCTCAGCTCCTTGCACCTCTTACTCCCAGCTCCTCACACTCGCACCACAAACTGAAGTGAGCTCCTTTTAAAACCCAGGTGCCCTGATTAGCCTGCCTTAATTGATTCTAGCAGCTTCTTCTTAATTGGCTCCAGGTGTGCTAATTAGCCTGCCTGCCTTAACTGGTTCTAGCAGGTTCCTGATTACTCAAGTGCAGCCCCTGCTCTGGTCACTCAGGGAACAGAAAACTACTCATCCAGTGACCAGTATATTTGCCCTCTACCAGACTCCTGTACCCCACTGGTCTGGGTCTGTCACAGCAGGTAAAACTGCTATTTGCACTAGTGCAGCTATACCCTTGGCTGGACACTGATGGCTATAATTGGGGCAAATCTCCACTCTAGCTAAGTCCTTCGACATCTACATTTAGGGCCCTACAGGCACATAATTTTAAGAATCCAACCTTGAAAATTGGTTTCTTCCCATTTTGGGACCTACTGATAGTTTATTGCCCTGCCACATGGGGGGATTCCTGGTATTGGTCTGGGCACCATAATCTGTGATGGGGAGGGATGTGCACTAGAGTTGCCTTGCAATACATCCAGTGTGACCCCTCCAACGGATTAGGTTGCAGCATTTAGAGCAGTGAACCGCGGCTACTGGGAGCTGTGGGTGGCCGTGCCTGCAGACAGTCAATGTAAACAAACTGTCTCGCGGCCGGCCAGCAGATTACCCTGACGGGCTGCGTGCGGCCCATGGGCCACAGGTTGCCCACCACTGATTTAGAGGCTCAGCAGTCCTGAGAACCGGTAAGGCACAAGGATCGGTCCGTCTCTGCTTGCATCAAGCGGAGCGCCCTAGAAGAATGAGCAGCTGCAATAAGGAGCATTAACTCCTGTGAGGCTACTATTCTTCCAGCTATTGAGCCAGGGAAGAAAGCTGCTCTATAGAACCCCAGGATGGCAGTGAAAAGCCACCAAAGATGGGAGCTCCTCAAAGCTTCAAAGAGAGGAGGAGCAATCTGCAAAGGGGGGAAAACATTCCTTACCAGTGGGACAGAAATGCTGCGAATCTCACGATAGATTTGATTTGAAATTACTCACCATTCTTGGTTATCATAGTGGGCCATGGAGTCATGTTAAAGGAAGATGCAACTTATATTCACTTTTAAATTTTGCATGCAAATCTGTTATGGTCTTCTATCAACCACTTCTAGTGTTCGACTCAGTGATATATTGTCAACTTGTACTGTATACAAATGCCTGCATGCCAAGATGAGCAAAGTCTCCTTAGAGGAGACCACCCTGTCCTAAGGATAGTACTTTGATAGTTCAGCACATGTCATTCAAACATACATACTACTGGAGCCCGATCCTGATCTCTCAGCAGTTTTTTACCAGAATAACTCCATTGGTCCTCAGTGGAGTTATTCTTGATTCAAGCCAACTTCACATTTAACAGCATACGTGCTGTGCTTTTGGGTTTATAAAAACCCAAATAAGCTCAAATCAATGCCAAAAAGAGCAGCATGAAATATATTTTAAGGAATAACACCTCAAGGTAAACATAGCTGGGCCTGTGGAAAACAGCAGCTAAGCAGGTAGCAAACTGCGACTACTGTTTATTATGCAGAACATGTTTGTTTTACTATTACTCTCCCCTACGGTCACCTGTTCTATCCACCTGCTATATCTAGTCATAAACTTGGATCCCAATCCTGAAAACACTTATGCATTGGCTTAACTTTATGCTTGGGACTTCAAATGGAACTACAAGTGCATAAAGCTAAGTGTTTGCAAGCAAGTTCTCTAGGGTAGAAACTGCCTTTTTACCATGTCTGTACAATATCTAGTGCAGTGGGGTGCTAGGCATTACTGTAATACAAATAATAATAATGGTAAACTATTTTCTTAATGAAATACTGTTGGAGAATCAAAACATTGGAGGGTCATATTAACTACATATATTAAGTAAGAGTTAAGGTCAAGCCAAAACCTGCTGACCACTAGGACAAAGGGCCTATTGCTAAGATAAGATCTATTGTTAAGTGAACCAACCCCTTGGCAAGGTTAAAGAATAATATGTAATAATAATGTTAAGTTGTGTGGCCTTTATTAAGAGTGGATAATTTAGTTGTTTAATGTTAGCATAAGATCTGGTTTACTAGAACATTTGTTTTAAATTGTCAGTGTGTCTTAACTAAAAGTAAAGAAAAATGGATGCTTGCAAAATATCAAATAATAGGATGTGTGAGAAAAACAAACTGCTGTGCACCCAAATCATCAAGGGCGCAAGAGCAGATACATTGAGATTAAACAGGAAAAGTCTGGATGAGGTGAATGGGCAAGATAACGTGTTTATTAAGCATGAACTGCATGTGATTGATTTGAAGGAACCAATTAGAACGGTGAAGCATGTACATAGCATGAAATATATTAAATATGGACAAAGGAAAAGACTGATTAGATATGGGCATGCGTGATGTAGGGGTTATGTAAGCGTATAAAAGATGTGTATTGTTAAGAATGATTGGAGCAACACAGAACCCTGCCCAAAAGACCAAACTTGTCTGGCCCTGCTGATGAAAGAAACAGCCTACTATGCACTAGGACTGGGTAACTGATCACTCTCTGATCCTCTCCTGCTTTATCTGTTTTACATATGCTTTGTGCTATAATTAAGGTGGCAATATACTGCCCTAAATTTTTTTCATAAAGCTTTAAAATTAATTATTCTTGTTAAATTGGTGTGAACTGTGTTTTTCACACAAAAAGATTATCAGACTTGTGATGTAAAGAGAGGCATTGCTTTAATTGCAAGAAATATCATTTAACAGGGTATTGGCAGGCACACCTAAGACATGAAAGGACTTGGATGCTGACAGAGAGCTCTAGTAGAAACAAAGAATGAAGGAATCTGGTATTACAAAAGACAGTGGTTACCAGAGAGAAAGCTGTGCCCCAGAGATGGTTGTTTCCTGAAAAAGCTTTACCATCTGGGAACTTTATATAAAAATCAATAAACAGTCCATGTCACTTGCTTAATTTTGTTTGGTCCAACTAATTGCTCCAAGGCTTCTCGGGAACGATCTGCCAAAAAAAAAAAAACCCACAAGAAAAACGAACAGTATTCATTGTTTATAATGTATACAGATACTGTGCAAACAAACGAATTTTGTAATACAATAAGATACAGGAATAATTTATTTCTTCATATTTGTTTAATTTGCCATTAGCACAGAATATGGATTTTTTTTTGTTTGCTTCATATTCTGGGAATGGACATTTGAAAAAAAAATCACATTTCAGATACTTTTATATCTGTAATAGTTCAAAATTGTGCTGTTTCTTCTTTATACCTATAATAATAAAGCACCATCAAGCAACCAGACACTAGATTACAAGGACAGAGGTTGGCCAGGTAGGGGTTTTTTTCTTTTATTATTTAATAAATACACTCAACAACCCCTCAACCTATTCAGTACTAGTTGGTTTCTCTCTCTCTCTTTTTTTTTTTTTGCTAGGCATCCGAAAAGCTGTGTGTCTTGAGGTGGTTTGAAAGAGAAGAGGGTAGTGGCCTATAGATCAATTCAAGAATAGCATTCCACATACAAAGGGCAGCGCGGCAGAAGGTGTGAAGATGGTTATGGAAGCTTGAGCTTGAAACAGCTCAGACAAATCAAAGAGAAACCCATTAAACACGAAAGCCTTTTAAATAAGGTATCAATTTTACACAGTAAATTTTCAGAGCAGAACGGCACTTTAAAACCTATTACTTTTGCAACCTCTCCACCAATGCTGTGTCTACACCAACATGTGCCTGACCTGTTGTGTCTTGGTTTTGTCTCTGTACAACTGCCAACTCTTGGAGGCAGGAACCTTGCCTTGCTGCTTTGGAAAAACCCTTGTATATTTACATCACTATCATTAATAATAATTTGTTATTTGTTTTCAGGAGCATCCACAACTTGGCAAGTGCTTTCAAGACAGAAAAAAGGCACACTCCCTGCGCCATATTTTGGGCTGACTTTGGAGTGAATACTTTGCTGGCTATCTGCTTGATTTGACTAACCTGTTATCAGTGGGCATCCATGAAACAGCAGAATATAGATCTCCGGACAGCAGGTAAGGACAGCTTCCACAGCTACATCTGTCAGAGTCACACAGCGTTCCATGTGGATCTCCTATTATGAAAACAAAAACCTGGTAACCACAACTGTAACTTCTAAAGCACAACTTTTATGTTGTCCATTCTAATGTCATAGATCTGCACAGATGGTGATTTTTAGCTTAAATATTCAGCTCTGTAAACTAACTATGAAAATGAAGTCCTTTTTTATGCACAAAGATTTCTGAGCAAACATATATGCACAAAGATTTCTAAGAAATTCTTGGTACTTAGGTTGAACCTTAGTGGATAACTGTGACAGTCAGGATCCAGACACCCCAAGAGGGGAACAGAAGGTTTAAACTCCAAAAATGAGCACCTGAACCAACTGATCACATACTGTATTATTGTGCTATAGAAATGTATTGAGCAAGGTCTTTTATGAAAGTTTGTAATGTTTTGAACTTAATGATCATTATGAGGTATGTATACAGACTGTGGCTATGTAGTTGTGTACATATAAAAACTGAGCTCATAATTTGTGCTGCAATGTTCAGTGCCTCCTCACTGTGAGGCAAGTCAGTAGGGAGGGGCTTCCTCCCCAGCCAGATGAGACTAGCTCCAAGCACCAAACATTGTATAACCCAGGAAAAGACAAATGAGGGGCTATTCAAGTTAATGGGAAAACACTGAAACAACTTAAAACTGAAAAGAAAACTCCAGTCTTGGAAAACTAAGGGTATGTTTACACTTCAAATGCTACAGCAGTGCAATGTAGACACTACCTACGCCAACGGGAGGACTTCTCCCATTGGCATAGTTAATCCACCTTCTGTTGACCTACCACTGGATTTTTCACTATATCAGATGTAAATTCCGAGTGTAGACCAGGCCTAAGAAGGAGGGAGTTTTCCCCACTTTGAGTATCTATAGTGGCTGAAGAAACCCCCCCTGCAAACCATTAAAAGTGGAAGGGGTTTGAACAGAAGAGTATCCAGAAATTGAGGGACGGCATCTAGGCTGGAAGTGGTCTGTGAAACGCTGGATCCTCCCTACAGTTAGGCGGTACGCTGGAAAACTGTTCAAAGTCAATAGGTAACTTGTATTAGAAAAGGAATTATTAATGTAATTTAAAAGTGTAAAGCTTAAAGTTGCATTTTTTATGTTTATTTTCTGCTCTTTTATATTTGCTTCCCTTGCTGTTTCGTTTTTTAATCTGTGATTTTTTTCTATTAAATAAACTGTTTATTTTTATCTCGAACAGGTCTCTGGTGTGCAAAGTGTATGGAATGTTTGTGCCAAAGCAAGCTGGTGTCTGGGGGGCTGGTTTCATGCCTTTGGTGTCTGAGTGCCTGGTAGTTGAGAGCTTGGGGTGGATGGATTTGGGGAGGCTTGGGACTGGACAGGCTGTTTGGATCACCCTTGTGGAGGAAAATTTACAGAGGGCCTCAGGCTTTGGTCAAGCTAGTAGGCCTGAAGTATTAGCTGAGCTTGTTTCTGTGTGTAAGGGGCATGGGGAGGCAAAGTGGAATGGAAAGTCTCCAAAACAGAACAATGGCTTTCTGTGTATAGGGGGCATGAGGAGGCGAAGTGGAAAGTACCCGAACACAATTTGCAATAGCAAAGCTTGTTTTCGTATAACCGCAATGGAAGCATTAGAAAAGTCAAACCGCAGAAGAGCTAGATTAGGAATAGCAATAACAGGAAAAGCCAAATAAGGGAGATGATTGTTTCTTTTTGCTTTTGACCTTTATTAATTTTGCAATGTATTCCAAATAAGGTAATTGATACGGAAGCATGTGTAATTTGTCTGTGGTTTTAAGCTTTAAAAGGCTTGTGTGTTCCTTGAATCAGGGGGCAGCTACTCAGAGCTGTTACCCCTCGGAGTGCTTGTAATCAATAAAGGTGCTTCAGGCTGATCTGATCCAAAATCAATCGTGTGGCTGATTTTCCACAACACCCTGCAAGGGGTAACTAGGCTGGTGGAAGGCAGCATGAGACCTGTATGCTTGTGGGCTGGAGTCTGGTGTTAGGGCTTTTTGACATAGCAGCACAGCATTAGGACACCCAATGTTACAGGCAGGCAGTGACATAACCTCTTACTGGTCTGGACGATCGCCAAAATGGCACAGTAATTAAATGCAGAAATGTATGTAGTCAAAAAGGAATTAGTATAATCTTATTCTCTGAATCTACTGACCTGTGAAGAATTGTGTCCAGATGTCCAAAGAGGGAATACTGGTAATTGACAAAAAATGATTATCACACGTGTTCTGTGATTAATGAAACACTGGTAATTAACAAAGGGTGCCTATTACTAAGGCTATGTTTTAGTCATGGGTATTTTTAGTAAAAGTCATGGACAGGTCATGGGCAGTGAACAAAAATTCACAGCCTGTGACCTGTACATGACTTGTACTATAAACACCCCTGACTAAATCTTAGGTGCTCTGGGGGGCTCTCGAGTGCTGCTACTGCTTTTGGGATGGGAACTCCAGGGCACTGCTGCTGCTTGGGGGTGGGGTGCCATGACTGTTCTGGGGGTTGAGGGAGCGGCCCAGGGTGCTGTGGCTACTCTGGCATCTCCCGGGGCAAGCTGCCTGGGGCCACCCAAACAGCGGCCGGTGCGGCTGGCCCCAGGGCTGCCCCAGCTGCTAGGGCAGCACTGGGGTCAGCCACACTGTCGCTGCAGAAGAATCCGTGACTTCTGTGACCTCCATGACAGACTCACAGCCTTACCTATTACCAAAGATGTGTGCTGTGATTGACAGATGCTGGTGATCGACAAGGTTCTCCTATCAGCCACATGTTCTCTAATTGATGGGATAATGAACCATTGATTGATTTCTAAGTCAATAAGAGTCATTTGTATTCAGGGATAGTTTTGGTAATAATGTATTAGTTACAGATGTCTTTTACAATTAAGTAAAGAGAGACACCTTAAGATAGAACTCACAGTTAAATCAATCATGAGAAAATAATTTCTTTGTTCAAAACCCTACATAGGAAAAGAGTTTTGAGGCAGTTGAATTTGGAGTGAATTATGCTGCACTTACTTCTTCAGTTGTCAGATCGGTTTGGTAAAGTATAATATGACGCTGATGCCAGCTTTGGTCAGAACTGTTGGCTCAGCTGAAAACAGACAAACTCACAGCAGGAAGTTAGGCCAGTTCACTTGTGTATTAGCAGATAATCAAAGGAGCCTGTTAAATGTCAGTGTATATATTTGGTGTTTAAACTTCATAAAATTAATGAGATTTTGCATGTACTGTTTTGCATTGTATATGACCCCCAATATCTAAATAACCCTCAAACATGGAAAAAGCCTTGTATAATGCAAATAAAGTACTCTTATCAGAAAGGTAATGCATCTCCGCACTTCAAAGCAATTGGTTATTGTGAGGGCATTCAGAGTTCAAAGACTCTAAAAGCATTCCTCTCTCACTGCTATCTAAGAAGAAATCACGGCACGGGATAGCTGTCAAGTCAGATTGTTCTAGGAGAACAAATATAAATCTGGATATAAAGGAAAATCCTTCATCTCTGGACTGTTTGGATTCAAACAGGGGAGAATAACTGAACAAGACAACAGAGATCCCCAGAATTATTCTCGGTAGCCCTAAAAGACTTTTGGGAAACTGGCAGATTATTACATCTCAGCTACCATTTGAAATTATAGACTGTGACTGACCTGTACATATATTTTACCTGCTTTAACCTTTCAGTAGCTCTATTTTCTTTTTCTTAGCTAATAAACCTTTAGGATTGGCTACCAGTGTTGTCTTTGGTGTGAGATCTAGGATGCAACTCGGGACTCGTGGGACTGCGGGTAACCTGGAATATTTGTGATTTTTGGTGTAAGTAACCATTTATCACATAGTCCAACTTGCCTGGGTGGCAACATAGTATACAAGACTACTGTAGTACTTTGGGATTTCACTGGGTTGGTGAAATCTAATTATAAAACATACCACCAGACTGGGGTGTCTGCCCTGCTTTTGACAGTCTGCCTGAGGAAATTCAATAATTATTGAGGAAATTCAATAATTTCCATCCCACCATCAACCTCAGCCTAGATCAATCCACACAAGCGGTCCATTTCCTGGACACTACTGTGCTAATAAGCGATGGTCACATAAATACCACCCTATACCGGAAACCTACTGACCGCTACACTTACCTACATGCCTCCAGCTTCCATCCAGGACACACCACACGATCCATTGTCTACAGCCAAGTTCTAAGATATAATCGCATTTGCTCCAATCCCTCAGACAGAGACAAGCGCCTACAAGATCTCTATCAAGCATTCTTAAAACTACAGTACCCACCTGCTGAAGTGAAAAAACAGATTGACAGAGCCAGACGAGTACCCAGAAGTCACCTCCTACAAGACAGGCCCAACAAAGAAAATAACAGAACACCACTAGCTGTCACCTTCAGCCCCCAACTAAAACCTCTCCAGCGCATCGTCAAAGATCTACAACCGATCCTGAAAGATGATCCCTCACTCTCACAGATCTTGGGAGACAGACCTGTCCTCGCTTACAGACAACCCCCCAACCTAAAGCAAATACTCACCAGCAACCACACATCACTGAACAAAAACACTGACCCAGGAACCTATCCTTGTAACAAAGCCAGATGCCAACTCTATCCACATATCTATTCAAGTGACATCATCATAGGACCTAATCACATCAGCCATACCATCAGGGGCTCGTTCACCTGCACATCTACCAATGTGATATATGCCATCATGTGCCAGCAATGCCCCTCTGCCATGTACATTGGCCAAACCGGACAGTCTCTACGCAAAAGAATTAATGGACACAAATCTGACATCAGGAATCATAATACTCAAAAACTAGTGGGAGAACACTTTAACCTGTCTGGTCATTCAATGACAGACCTGCGGGTGGCTATTTTACAACAGAAAAACTTCAAAAACAGACTCCAATGAGAGACTGCTGAGCTGGAATTGATATGCAAACTAGACACAATCAACTTAGGATTGAATAAGGACTGGGAATGGCTGAGCCATTACAAACATTGAATCTATCTCCCCTTGTAAGTATTCTCACACTTCTTATCAAACTGTCTGTACTGGGCTATCTTGATTATCACTTCAAAAGTTTTTTTTCTCTTACTTAATTGGCCTCTCAGGGTTGGTAAGACAACTCCCACCTGTTCATGCTCTCTGTATGTGTGTATATATATCTCCTCAATATATGTTCCATTCTATATGCATCCGAAGAAGTGGGCTGTAGCCCACGAAAGCTTATGCTCTAATAAATTTGTTAGTCTCTAAGGTGCCACAAGTACTCCTGTTTTTTTTTCTGAAACCTGCCTGAGGTAGGCACTCACGGTTGCGAGCCACTCCAGACAACATGACATATACAGTCATCTCTGAGTTCTGCTGTATTACTCTCTATTCTATAATCTCTGATTAAATATATTCCAATTAAGCTAATTATTTGGCATCTCCTATTATCATTATTAAAATTCAAATATGCAACATCAGAAAGGACTAACGCTACCTCAAAGTCTGTTCGGGCCCTTCTTTCGGGGCACAGTTTTATTCTTCAAACATAAGACTCACAAGGTAACACCTAAACAAAGTTATCCCCTCCTAACCAAAGCAGGCTGCAGGGGCTGACAGGTCTTTCCCCTTGAACAGTCACAGATGAGGCTGGGCCCAACTCCCCTTAAAGGGCCAGCCACCCTGTGACACAGCCTCTTAGAGCTGTTAATTAAAAAGAAGAAACTGATTTGTAAGTTTTGAATGTATTCCTATGAATTCAACTCTTTTTGCTCTGCTGACCCTTGTGTTGCTGCAGATTGCTATTTGCACTGGCGCAGCTACCTTACTGCAGCTACACTGATGTAAAAAAAGACCACTCTACAAAGGGCTTTAGTCTTTAAGAACAATTTTTTCTATATGACTTGCTTTTTTTATTCCACTTTGGGCTGCTCTACTCTGAAAACTTACATCAGCATAACGGTCTCTCAAGGGTGTGAAAAAGCCACAATCCTGAGAGATGTAGCTATGCCAATCTAACCCCCAGTGCAGACAGTGCTAGGTCAACGGAAGAATTCTTCCTTCCGTCGACCTAGCTACTGCCTCTTGGGGAGGTGGATTAACTACAGCGATGGGAGAACCCTTCCGAGGAGGTGGAGGAAGAGACAGTGGAGAACGGCGGGGATGGGGGAGGAGGATGGGACACGGGATAGTGGGGAGAGGAAGTGGGAGGGGATGGGGAAGAGAAGGGGATATGGGAATGGGCGGAGGGAAGCAGGAGCACGACATGTGGTGTCCCCTCGGCAGTGGCAGCAGCCCCAGCAGGGAGGCGGCCGCAGCAGCACCAGAGCAGTGACATCACTGCAGCAGCCGGTGCTGGAGGGGCTGCCAGCAGCCGCTGAGGCTCCCCTGTTAAGCTGTCCTGTCCCCCCCCAGCACTGACAACCCAGGTATCACTGCAGGCGGGGGGAGAGAGTCAGTTAGCCACGCGTGTGCATTGCCTCCCACAAATATAGCAGTCAAACTATGCCTCTGACAAAAGCTGGTGACTTGAAGGCTGCCTAATACTTGATTCATGCCCACAGTCAGGGATGTCCTTAGGCATACACAGCATACGTGGCTGCGTACGGCATCCAAAAATTTGGGGCACCACCCTCGCTGGCTGCGACGCAGACTCCTCTCCTCTCCGGCCCCTCCCCCATGCTGGGCCAACCCAACACCTTGGCCTCGCCCCTCTGCCCACTCACTCCTCAGCTGGCCGGCTGAGGGCTCCGGCTTGGGCAGGGCATCCCGGGGCCAGGAACGAAAGTTTGCATGTGAGTGAGCTGGGGATGGCTGGGGGGAGCTGGGCCAGACAGGGGGCAGGCTGGTAACAGAGTGGGGGGGATATGTGGAGGCTGGGAAGAGAGGGGAAGAAGGGTAGAACTGGGCACGGGACTTTGGGGAGTGGGGGGGGGGAGAGGAGGAACCGGGCTGGGAAGGGAAAAGAGCGGGGAGGTGTCTTTGTCTGGCTCAGTGAGCGAGCAGCGAATGAACTAGGGCCTCCTGGGGAGCAGGCTGGTGGCCCCAGGGGAGAGCAGCTGTTCTGAGCAGCCCCACACTGTACCTGCACCTCTCCCCTCTTCTGCCCACATGCCCGGCAACTCCCTGCAATCTCTCGCCTAGTCTCCTTTTCACTCCACCTCCCTCGTCTCTGAAATTTAAGCCCAGACGCCAGCATCCCCTTTGGACTGTCACCTTTCCTCTCCTCCCTTCCCCAGCAGGGATCAGCAACAGAAGCAGGCTGGGAGGAGGGAGAGAGGCACACACACAACCAGGCTGGGGAGGATGGAAAGTTAAAGGAAAATAAAAGGTGGCGTTTGCTTTTTCTGCCCATTCACAATATTCCAGTGTCAACAGGAGGAAACTGATACTAAAACAATGGGAGGAGGGGGATGTACCTAGAGTAGAAAAGCAGCAATCAGGGCTGCAGAATGCAAGGGAGGGAACGACCTCTTAGCTGGGCAGGAAGATGGACTCGCACTTGACAAGGCTAGAATAGCTGAAAACTTTTATTTAGAGAAAAGGGACATGATTTTTTTTCTTGTGGATCCCAATATCTCCAGGGCTCTCTCTTAAGCTGGTAGCATTTTGAACGAGGGAGAGTTCTAAACAGTGCAGAGTTGAGTGGGATTGTAAAGGTCCCTTCAAGAATGCAGCACCTTCTTCCTCACCCATGGGAAAGAATTTTAAAAACGGCCTTAAATAATCCAAAACAAGAGCCACTGTTCACGTGAGACTTGGCTGCTTATGGCTCCAGCCCCACCGTTGAAGCATTGTTGAAACGGCGTGCTGAGTTATACCCAGTACAATCCCACTGAGCCAGGTGTGGCAACCAGGTATGTAAATCAGGGCAGAAAAAAAGACTGGTGCCTGAATATAATTCCTTTTCTTATTAAACTGCACATCCCAAGCACCTCTTTACTTTTCAGGTTTAGAGGGAAATGCTCTATTTTAGGGAGAATGAAAGGCCATTTGGGAGTTGATGGCCCAGAGCAGTGGCAGGCAAGGGCCTGGATGAGGGCTGGACTCCGCCATCGGTATCAGCAATTTCTTTTTTGTCATTCAAATGGATTTTGGGTCATGGCCGACATCCCAGCCATCACGTAAAATGCTTCCCTGTGGCCTTCTGACATGCACACAGAGATACCTCACCGCCAAGTCCCTATCCTAGGACGGGGAGCTGGGAGGGGGTGGGGAGGCTGCAGGGTGATCTCCCACCTCCATGCAGCCAGTGGCCTATGCTTGCCACTGCCATGCTGGAGCCTCCACGTTTATTTATTGACAAAGTTTGCAGAATTTTAAAATATTGTGCACAGAATTTAATTTTTTGGTGCCAAATTCCCTCAGGAATATGGGGTGCTGAGCAGTTGGGGTGGGGGAGCTGTGAGAGGGGCGCTGGACAGTGGGGGGGGGGGGGGGGAGGGGGGGGGAGGGGGACCGGGGGGGGGGGGCTCGGGGGGGGGGGCGCAGGGGGGAGGGGAGTGCAGGGGTTGGGGTGAAGGCGGCACAATTAAACTGTGTTTAGTAAGGTGCATGTGGCAAGTTTTCCAATACTGTAAGCTTATGTTTGCATTACTAAGAGCAATTCGGGCATGGGGCACCAGTTTAATAATACTGCGTGGGGCCCCATAAATCCTAAGGACGGCCCCGCCCACAGTCATGGTAATTGTACATGCAAATGTAAATGCGTAACTTGATAATATAAATAATATTTTTCCTCTGGAATTTTAAAAATGTACAAATGTATTTGCTTTTAACATTGCTTTGTACTTAGAACAGGTTAGATGAGTTACCTTTAAATTCTTTGAACACATCCCACTAACTAGTGCTATGACACCATTATCAGTCACCTAGAAAAAAAAATCTGTTATTGGCATATTGGATTAAAGAATGGCACGTACATATCTTTTTAAAAAGCAGTAATTTTGGAACAACAACCAGAGAGGGTGCAATGACGCATCCAGTGCGGTAATGCAACTGATCCCAGAGAAGCAGGGCATGTATTTTCAGTCATTAAACTTGCACACTTTTTACATGCCCTGTGCTTTAGACAAAATCATTTAGTTTTCCTCTGAACTGACACAGGAGAGTTATGCAAATATATATTTTTACTCTACTTAGTAGTTTAAAATCTAAACGATAAAGGCATCCTGTTATAGCATGTTCTTGCTGTATGATCCAGTTTAGACTGCCACACTTGGGCTGTATCTACACTAGCTTTCTGTTGAGAAATCGTCAACTATTGCATTGCCACCGGTGCAGTTCTATCAGAGGTAGCAACAATGGAGCACTAGTATAGATACAGCATGGGCATTTTTAATACAAGGTGTTGAAAAATGACATGCCTGTTTCTAAAATGACTGAATTGTGCCACAGGGAGATTTTCTGAAAAAGGGTAGTGTAGGCAACTTTTGGCAGTCTTCTCTCGGCTTAAAATTTTATTTCTGCTAGCCTTGAACTACACATAAAATTCAAATGAAATACACACTTTTTAAAAATATAGAGCCAAATTCATGGCTAGTGTAAGTAGGCACAACTTCACTGACATTTACACCAAAGGTGAATTTGACTCACTGTGGTTTTGAAATTGGCTCTTTTAAAATGGGGGACAAGGTGGGTGAGGTAATATCTTTTATTGGACCAACTTCTGTTGGTGAGAGAGAAAAGTTTTCAAGCTACACAAAACTCTTCTAGGTTTGAAAGTTTGTCCCTTTCACCAACAGAAGTTGATCCAATAAAAGATCCACCTTGTCTCTCTAATATCATGGGACCGACACGGCTACAACACTGCATACAACAATCTTTTTAAATGGGTCAGGCTGCCTTCAGCTGCCCAAACCAGGAGTACATTGTAATTTTAATCAGTTTTAGAACTGGTTAGAAAATATCTCCAATGCAGACATACATGCCCATGTAGTTCTTTACATCCAGATAAGCAGACATTTACTAGAAAGACAGTGTAATGTAAATCTTCAGACCTTTAATGAGAATTTGAAGTTTGCAAAATGTAATACATTCAATCAATGTAATTAACCTATTCATACAATACAGAGGAAAAAGACAGCCTACAAAACCATATCGACTGCATTTGACTTTTTAAAATCAGAATGTTTTGATGACATGTGTCACACCCCAATGCCTCCCCCTCAAGGGGTCCCCTGGGGAAGGCAAATCAGCATTATATATGGCTAATGCTATTGCAAGCATCGCAGGACATTTTGGGAAGGGTCAAAGGTGTGAGTGAGTGTGGAATGGAAGATTGCTTTGCAGGTCGTAAGAGGCCAGAGGGGGAAAAAGGAAGAGAGCAAAGAACGGGTTAACTCCTCGCTCCTGTTAGGTCCAAAAATAAAACGCTAACTCCAGACAGTTCAAGGCCACAGCACACATCTGACTCTCGACTGCCTGCCAAGGAAGAGGGGGGCCCAAAATCCACCAACCAGTCTTAAAAAAAAAATAAAAAAATTCAGCTAAACAAACCTGCAAAGACAGCCCATAACAAGCAAGGCAAACAAAAGCCAGCACAATGAAAAACAAAAAAACCAAGAAAGTCTAGCCGGTGTGTTTTGGGAAAGTCGAGGAGACCACAAAAAGCCAGTTTTAACTGGCACAAAAAGCATCAAAAGCAAACATCCCACCAAAAACCCAAAACTTAAAACCCTCTTAAAAGCTGAAGCAATTCAGAGATCAGCAGCGGACCTCGAACAACCTGGGCCCAGAACAAAACTCCCGTCCACCCTTCCCCCTCTTCTTCGTACATTACACCCAGGCTTGGCCAGCCTTGGGTAGAGCGTGTGTGAGTATGAAAATGGGTTAGGGCTTGGGGCACTAACGCTTTCTTCCTTCCTCTGAGTGACGTGGAAACTCCCGTCACTCACCGCTGTTATTTTGTTATTTTATTAATAAAGCTTTAAAACTTAAAAACTTGATGTGTTTCGTCATCTCCTCCCCAAACAATGCTGTCACCTCAGCCTGATCACCTGACGTCTCAGGCAGATTGGTAACAGAAATCTGCCACAGTTTGGTGGAGAATTGCAGGGGGGGGAGCCCTGCGGAGTGCACCAACTGTTCTGCCCTTGGTATTTCATGTTTGCTCTGCCGGCACTGTTGGTATTTCATGTTGAGGATTTTATAATTACAGGTGTGCCCCACCCGCAGTCGTAGCATGGCTGAGAACTGGAGGGAGGTTTAGCATTCCGCTCTCCACCCCGATCGGCGGGGGAAGGGTGCAGGTGGGTCTTCCCCCTGTCGTAGAAGTGCTGGGCAATAGAAGAAGGACTTAAAGATCCTCGTTCCAAGTAACAGGGACAATCCTCGGTGCATACACCCTCAGTCGTAGTATAACTAAGTAGAAGGGGGAAGCTTTGGGTTTCTTGCTCAGCCCGAAAGGGGCACTTGCAGAGGAGAACTTTGGGTTTCTCGCTGAGCTCAGGGGGGCATTTGGTGTATGGACCCTCGGTGTTAAAGAACCACCGTGTAATACGGAGGGAGGCTTAGCGTCTCTCCCTCTGGCCCAGTGGGGTAACATTGGAAGCCCCGGTGCCGGCGTGAGCTACGTAAAATCTCAAGTAATAAAAAAATCTTAAGAGTTGTACTAACAGATTGTGACAACATGTTCAGGAAACAGAAGGGTACAGCTGCGGACTCGGGAGTCCTGCAGTCGTGGGCGATGGCATCAGCGATGGGTTCAATGTCGGACGTATGGGCTTTAGGGAGCGCGGACATGGTAGTCTGGCTGCCCGGTCAGCTGGTGTCACGGGAAGCAGGTGAACCTGATGCCCAAGCCACGGGAGAGGCAGCAAAAAGGGACGGGACCCTGCTGCCTCTTTCAAAGGGGGGTGAAGACCTCTCCCGGCTGGAGAGAGCTCTCACTAAGGTGGGATACAATCCATGGGGTTCCGTGGCAAATCTTCAAAAAAGAGTGCAGACTTGGCAGGATTTATTAGACCCTTATGCCAAGTATAAAAACGGTAAAGGGCAAAAACCTAGGGGCAGCTGTGGAATTAATTTGGACTGCAGCAGCCATGCGGTATCAAATGTTGTCGGGACAAAAAGAGGAGTTGGGGAGAAGGGAGGAGGTGTGTACTCAACAGCTGGTAAACATTAAGCAACTAAAAGTGCAAATTACTAACCAGGTTGCAACCCAAGCCTATGCCCAGGACAAATTGCAGGCCTTAAAACAGAACTTCTAGGTGGAAAAGGAGGAATGCACCTGCCTAAAAGCACTAGCTAAGCAAGTACTGGTCCTTCAGGAACTAGTCAAAGACTTGACTATTTGTGCTCAGCATACGCCGCAATGGCAGTGTGGTCGCCATAAAAAAAAAATTGAACAGTTAAAACATCAATTGGCCGTGCGTTCTGTCCAGATGGCGAGCCTCACGGGGGATAATTCAGGTAACCCTTGTGAGGGCTTTGATCTCTCCCTTTGTAAGAATCCTCAATGCTGGAGGAAACTGAGCAGTTAAAGTTGTAAGAATATTATTAAAAAAAAATTCTTGGTTTCTTTGAAGCCATTCTGAAGGAAAAATGGGCCCTTTTCCAGGAGAATGTCTATAAACGATCTAATTAAAATCATTTAACTATCAACAATTTAGTAGTCAAATTTGCTAAAAGAACATAAGGGGGTTCTATTAAAACTTAACTGCCCCAAATGTATAAAGTGAATGTAATCTATATACAGCTATGTAAAAACAAAGCAGTGTAAACAAAATGTACATTTTCCCCAAAACGTGTATATTATAAAAAAAAATTTAAAAAATACAAGCATACCATACTACTTAATTAAAATCCTATTAGGGCTCCAAAGGAAGCCACAGTAGGTTGTGTTTTCCTTTTTCAAATCATTGTGTGTTTTAAAAACAAAAATTAAAAATTAAAGGTAATCAAAACTCTGGTAAAAGTTAATTGTGTCCCTTTTAAGACAGAGTCTCTGAGCTACTAATAGCTTTGAATCCAAAAGCAAGCCAAAAAGCGTCTGTGTTAATACAAATTACCTAACTAAAAAAAGGTAAAAGCCATTAAAACCTGGCCTGCCTATAAAACAAACACAAAAAAATATGGGGGTAATTCCTCGGTTTTGCCTGCCGTCAGCAAGGGGTATTTATATATAAAAAAAAAATATTTTAAGCAAAAATCTGCCACCCCCAAAGGGGTAAAAACATGTTCTTTCTGTCTTTCAAAAAATCAAAAAGAGCTAATATCAGCTAAAGAGCAACCCAAAATACCATAAATCTACTGTCACAATAGAAATTGTGTTTTGTGTTCAATGTTTTGTTTTGTGTTGTTCCTAGCACTGTTGTGTATTAAATGCTGCAAAAAAAAAATCCTCAGGCAGCAAACATGTTAAAAAAAATTGGGTTTAAAGCAAAAATTATATAAACTATAAACCTAAAGGTAATTAAAAATAAGTTAAGCTCCCTGTCCCAGCTACAAAACAGCCTAATACAAAAACAAATTTTAAAAAAAGGGGCCACTTCCTAAAATCAAAATAAACAAAACCTTGTGCCATAATAAACCGCCTCAGCCCACTGGCATACCCTAATAAAAACAATAAAAAATTAAAATAAGTACATGTTTCACAAATTAAACCTTTTGCGTAATTAATAATGTCTTAAATTTTTTACAAAAAAAACCTCCTAAAATTCAAAACATAAAACGCTGCTCAACCACTACTACCTCCAAACCCATAAAACCTCAATATAAGGATATTTTGGGGAAAATATGTTGGGGAAGCCCACTGCCATCTTTCCCCTGGTCAAGAATAATTCCCCTACCACATCCTTTTTGGTCGTCCAATGATATGGGGTAATTTTAAAAAAAAATTTACTCTAAACATAAAGTGGGTGGGTCCGTA